ACAGTCCATAACTTCGTTAGGTATTTATTTCTTGTTGTCTTAATAATTTAATTATTTTGTGGTCTTAAACACACTATAATATCTGATATACTAAATGTTTTACTTGGTCCCAGCGCACTGGAGTGGGTATCCTAAGACCGTCTCAACGCGCCTCTTAACACGAGCACCTCATACTTGCGGGAGACATCAACGCTTATAATAGTTCTACTTACAGGATAGGATGTAAACGACATAGATAAAAGTTAGTACCGGTAACGTGGGGTTGGTGGTTAGGAGTAGAAAAAGGGTTTACTCTTTTAGAAATGTTACAATAGACCTTGTTAGTCTCTGGTTCCAAATTGCCGATACGGGAAAATATTAGATGGAGTACTCTCTCTCCTCCTTGTAAGTCCATGGCGGGTAGACAGGACCATAATGACCCGTCAGGGTTTATTCTCCCCGTCGTTACACAACCAAGAACCTGGCTTGGGGGTATGGTAACCCAACTTTAACTTGCAATATTTTCGTGAGCGTCGATGCGTGAGCTTAAACATAAACAAGAGACGAGGAGGTTTTCGTCGAATTTTTATTATGTTTTTTGGCGGAAAAACAGCCCTTGTCGTTACTACAGACCAAGTTCATCTTTCGGTGGATTCCAAATTTCCGGTCTTTTTTTTTTTTTTTTTTTCTTTTTTTTTTTTTTTTTGTTCTATAAAGAGAAAAATGAGGACATTACCCCAATTCGTCTTCTGAAATATGGTCCTGTATACTGAAGTCCAAAAAATTTTACACCCGGTTGTCTCCGTAGTTATTCTTTAGTCACTAGATATACTAACTTGTTTTACTACCTAAATCGAATGTTTTATTTGTAGTATAAAAAGGAGTTGTGTAAAAGAATTTCTCAATACACCGTCGATTCCTCAATATAGATTCGTGTTTTAAGTGTTTTAGTTGAAGTGGATAATACAGTGAAACAGGTTCGACCTTTTGTTAAATATCACCCAGTACCTGGTTCACAAGAAAAACTGTTACTGGAAAACGTTTGCTTTAGTCCTTTCTCAGGGAGTCTTTTATGCTGAACGAACCAGGATGCTAAAAACTACGTCTCCATTGGTAACTCCTTTACCCCCCCGTCTATGTCATTTTACGGTTGAACCAAGATTGACTAAAAACTACGTGCTCCATTGTACTCCTTACCCCGTCTATGTCATTTTTACGGTGTTTCAAGTTCCAAGTTTGATTAAATTGTGTTCTAAAATCTTGAGAGTTGTCATTTGTTTACCTATACCATGGATATATTGAGGGTTAGGGGATGTGTGGTAAACTACCTTTATAAGTCTAAGTTACACATTCACACTAAATTACTATTCCTTTGGTAACAAGGTGACCGAAATACCTGATGGGTTTATAAATTTAAGTAAACCTTTCTACAAGACCCGTCGTAATAGTTTTTTATTAGGCGGTGTAATTGTCTTTACGGGTTTTAGACATTAAGAAACCCAAAGGGAGAATAGAGGGTCTGAAAAATTATAGTTGAATTCGTTTTCTGACCATTCAGAAAAAGAGAAGGTTTCGATTGGGGTGTTATTCGAACAATGGAAAAACCTTTTTGCGTCTTTTGGGCGAGCTAGTAAAGTACCAAAATTTTTAGCGAGTAACAAATCGGAAGGCTTTTAACTGTAAACGGTATTTCCTTTTCGGACTTCACAAAAGGTAGTTTATACCCCTTAAGAACTTCAAGGACCTTTATTACACCTTAAAAACTTGGAACAGGAGTAATTAAACCTACACTATTACCGATTGAACAGGAATGGCGGAACGCATTGACGTTACAAATTTAATTGTTATAATGGTTGCACAGCCTTGATTACGCACTACATATATCAATCCCGGGACAGGTCAGTAATTTTAAATTAGCAATTAATGCTTTACTTACAGCGTATCAATTAGCGCTAATTAGCGTGGTAAAAAAATAGACAAGGATTTACGAAATATGGAATTCGTCAAAGAATGTTGGGAAAAAAGTTTCAAGTTTAAAGTTGTGAAAAAGTTTCGTAAAAAGTTCCACGTAAAAGTCGAAAAGGTCGTTAGAATGTCGACAAACAATTTTCTTATTAAATATATGTGCCATGAATATGTACTTATAAAGCGGATCGCGTAATAATCTACAAGAAATAGATTTATTTGTTTGTTTTTAAAACCAAAGGCACTACGTAAGTTCGTTACCCTATTTTATTTTTCTTTTCTTTTGATTCAAATTATAAGTTTACTCACTGGGCTAGTAGACCAATCGCATCTTGACCCGTAGGTTATATTGACCGCCTCGCTTTATGTTTGTTAAGGTCGGTTTAATTGAAAGTTATGTAATTAACTAATGATAAAAATCCATTGAAAAAAATCCAAAACCGTTCATTTGTGTCAGTCTCCATTTACCACATGAAAAAAGGAGGTGATTATACAAATAAATTATGGAAGTCAAATGAAATGGGGCTTACAACCTTACTTAACTTACACTTTAATATTAAGTTCACATTTAGTTTCTGAAAATTCAAAAAGGTGGACCTCAATTTAAGTGGTTCGATGGGACGCGTTCAGATGTTTCAGTTATTTGATCGAAACGTTGGAAATTGGTCGAACTCTTTGTGAAAAATACTAGTAGTAAATATTTTGTATATATAATAAGACTTTACCTGGTTAGACGTTTACTGAATGAAAATGACAGCGTGAAGTGAATAAACTTACTATTAATTGAAAAGGATGAAATGACTCCTTTGTAAAAACTTCGTCCTGAAATGAACACAAGTGCTAAAAAGAGTTACAGTACAGTGCAAGATAAGATCCAAACCCCAACAAAAAACGAACAAGATAAGAGGCATTATACGAAAAGCGGAGATTACGATTAGCGAATAACCCAATTA